GAGATAGAGAGAACACTTGCAGCAAGACACGCGATGCGAGAAGCTATCCAAAAACGCTATCCAGCTATTTCTTTTTTTTTAACTATCTATAATCTATCTGTTTCTATGTACTGGCGTGGGTGTCCGTCTGCGGACGATCCGTCTCGTTTCGTACCGTCTTTCACCTCTACTGTTTTGCGTCTCTCTCACTGTGAGTGTGTGTGTGTGTGCGCCCCCGTTGGCTGTGCGTAGGGGGACGGAAGCCATGCCTTCGAGCAACCCACGAGTGTCCCACTTGCCCTCTCGCCCTGCGTTCAGTCTCCACTCGCCTGTTTTTTTTTGCTTTTTTTTTTTCCAACGAGTGTAGGTTCCTTCGCTGAAACCGCTACCCAGCTGGGCTGTGCCCCCAGTACTATTCCTTCTTTCATCCCGGGTTGATTTGTATGAGGGATTCCCGGCCTCAATTGTTGTTGAATTTGGTAAAAAGAATAAAATAAAATGAAACCGCTACCCTTAAAGAAGAAACTGAATTTTCATTTCGTCGTTTTTAAACTAGGCTATATTCTTCTCTGAATTTTTTTTATTTTTTTTAATTTTGTTTTTGGACCATTTGGTCCATTTCTTTTTCTTTTTTTTTCTTTTTTTTTGAGAAGTTGTCACTTTACATTTCAAAACAAAAGTGGTCGAGGCCGAGGACCTCACAATTCTACCCGGTATTAACGAGATGAAATCTGCTGGAAACCGGGTCCAGCGTCCCACGACCGCCCAGTCTCAATAGGACAAAACTCCTCAAACTAGCCTTGAAGCACAGAAAAAGGCGGCTAAATAATCGATAGTAAGCCTCTCCAATCCTTCAGCCTATACCATGATATCCTTGCAGCGCAGAGGAAGAAATGCAAGGCCGGCATGTTTCTAATGTCTCAACACTACTGGCAGAGAACTACAAGTTATAATCTGAAGAATTCGAAAACGCGCAAAGCAATTCACAAGGACTTTTTACAATTTTAAACCTAAAAATTATTCCTAAAGCAAACTAAAACATCCCATAGAATCCCAAATTCTCATCTCAAACTGGTGCCAACTTCAAGCTAATCGTGGTGATATTGTTCCCCAAAAAATAGAGAACAATCCTACAGCAGTTAATTGATCACACCTGCAGGAGTGACCCTTCTACCCTCCCTATTCCACTACCCTGCCAGGAGCCTGATCTGCCATGACGGGTTTCCCACCACGCACCCTTGGACCTTCATAGTTTAGCGGACACAATGGGTACAGCTCAAGTTTGCTCCTCGCCGGTTCTCTCATAGCATCTCACCAAAAGCGTTCCCACAGCCTCTTGATGCCCTCATGGGCTCATACTGCTCAAGATGGTGCCGCTATCAGTAATTCCCTGGGTTTCACCCTGACTATCGTACAAATTGCTTTGTTCTCACAATCATTAGCTGCTGTATCGAGCTACCCTATCACCCACTCGGTTCCAACACCCCGCAGAGAGCCTGAGCTGCCATAACGGGTTTCCCACCACGCACCCTTGGTCCTTCGTGGTTTAGCGGACACAATGGGTACAACTCAAGTTTGCTCCTCGCCGGTTCTCTCGTGCCGCCTAACCAGTAACATTCCCACCGCCCCTTGTTACACTCTCACTGCACAAGGAGGCGCCGCTACTAGCAATTCCACGGGTATCACAGAACTATCACCAGATTGCCCTCATTTCCAATCCTAAGCCACCGTACCTCCTTCTCACAAAAAACCATTAAATCATTAAACACCAACCCATCCAAATTCCATACTAGTAAAAAACAGTCACAAATGGAAAGACCAAGAAGGTTCCCGTACTAACCCTAAAAACTGTACCAGAAACCAACTCAATTAACCCAATTTAAGACAAACCAGCTTTAAGCTGAACGTAATAGTCTTGTCTCCAAAAAATAAGCGAAAGAAGAACTGCCAATCCAGATTCTAGCATGTTAATCTACGAAGAAAAATAATTGCAAGACCAACCTATGGCAGTACACCACTAACCCAACTAATTTCTTAAAATTTTTCAGGTACTGCCATAGGTATATCAGGCGGAATACACTGAGAAGGTCACCGGCCACTGAAACGGTCTGCAAAATGACCGTACCATATACCAACAGCAAAAACAATCCCAATACCCAAACCAATTTCGAAGATCTGCAAAATACCAAACACGAGAATCAATTAAGAAATCAACTGTTCTATAGACTAAGCGACAAAAGGACAAAGCCAAAACATCTCAACAGCACCAACAACAGAGACGATACCAAGAATCTACTGCGTAGGAATCTCTCAAGGAAAGAGTGAAAAACCCACCAAAGTTCGACCCTAAACCACTATAGACAGTCCCCGAAACTTAAGGTCATCGGTCAACTATAGTATCTCGTTCACTCATAAAAGTTCTTTACCAATCAGACAGAAACCATCGATTTCCTTATGAATGAACAGATCATAGAAGACCAAAACAACAACCAAATTACGAAAGAAACCCTACAAGGAGTAAGTGAACAGCAAACTGTCTTGCGACAAGATTAGGGCAACCGAGACTTGCTGAAGCCCTTGGACCTGCCGGAGTGTTGCCACCGCAACCACACGCTCTCCCACTGCGTCCGGATATGCCACTCCACGCTCCATGCTTCTCTGGTGGTGAAGGCATGTGTCTTGAACTACAACGCCCGGCTTTTGGATGGTAAGAAAGGAGCCCCCCCTTCCAGCAGAAGGCTTGAGGGGAAGGCGGCTCCTCTGGTATCAAAGTCCTGTAAGATATGTATGTTGGTATGGAGGTCTGGAGGTCTGATGAGGAGCTGCCAGGATGCCGTGGCGTACGAGTGCAAAGGCACTCCCTACCCACTCAAGGGCTAGGCTACGCCAGGGCACTGTCGCCATAGCTCGCACACAGCTATGGTGCCTGGCAGGGTAGGCGCCCCGTGGAAAAAGGTCAACGTCCGCATMCCCCAACGTTGCAACCCACACAGCCGCTGACGGAGACCGGGCGCCGCCACCGCCGCTGTCGCCGCTACGTTAGCGCGCATTCGTGCGGCCGCCCCGGTCTCCTCTTCGCCTTCCTTTCGAAAGACATCATGATGGCCTTTTGGACCATTTCTCGATTTATGCGTGTCATCCTTGCGCCGGGACCATTTCTCAATTTATGCGTGTCATCCTTGTGCAGGGGGCATGCTAATCTTCTCTGTATCTTCCAATCGGATGTCTTTCTCTTGTCACCCCCCCCAGGGACATGGACCCTGGGGGATACGGCGGGGCATAAACCCCGGCCGGATGGTTACTGGTTTTTTTACCCGGGTTGTTTGTGAGGATTCCCGGCCTCAAAGTTCCTTCTTGGTTTTGCAATGTATAAATGGTATCCTCCCTTTTTCCCCCCAAAAAAAAAAGTTCACCTTTCGCTATCTACCTAGTAACACTACTCCTAAGCATATACAGGGGGGGATGCATTTTGCCCACAGCCCTAATTGAAGGTGGTCAGGGATTGACGTGCCACCGCCCCTAGCC